CTCGACAACCCCCTGACCCTTATCACAAGCGCCAGCAGCCCCTCACCATGCCAAACCCGAGCATCGTCGCCTCAAAAAGAAATATCGCCACCTCCGGCTGCAGCAACAGCGCCGCCACGCCGCCCTCCTCCGCCCCAGCCGCCGCACCCTCCAGGCTCCCGCCCTCCGACCAGTCATACTCGCCCGCCTCTGCCGCCGCAGGCGCACCGACGGCGGCTGCCTCGCCGGCGGCAGGCTCGGCGGCGGCAGCGGGGGGGCTCTCAAGCAGGCCCCTTTCGGGGCCGCCGCCGCCGCCGCTGCCGCGTGCGTCGGCGGAAGGCAGAGGGGCGGCCGCGGGCGCCCACCCGGCGTAGTTGTACCGCATCAGCGCGCCCACCACAAACAGCAGCGCCGAAAGCAGGCCGAAGCCGACGAAGGGGGCCGTTTCAATGCCGAAGCGCTGGATGGCGGCGCCGCCCGCCACGCCGAAGACACCCCAGCCGATGCTGGCCCACACACGCTGGGCGCCGTATGACGCGGCCCCGCCCTGCGAAGCGCGGCGGCCGGCCGGCCGAATGGGTGTTGGGTTCGGGCAAGGAAGGGAGGCGCGGACAACTCGCCGCCCGAGATAAAGCGGCGCTTGTCGCAACACGCAGAGAACGTGAATCACACGCGCTCTGGCCGCAGACACGCAGCAGACCGTCCGAGCAGCATGCGTTGTGCATGCTGTCGGCCCCACCTCGCGCCCAGCCAGGTTTGAGAGGACAGTGGAGTCCCCGAGGACACCGAAGAAGCCGAACGCCTCAGCAGCCAGCAGGATGGCGCAGAGCTCCCACGCGCCGCGCCCCAGGGGCAGCGCCGCGCGCAGCAGCGCCGAGGCGCAGAGGCCGAGGAGCAGCAGCGGCCGGTGCGCGGCGGCGCGGTCGGCGAGGGCGGTGGCGGCGATGGAGGTGGGCGCGGCGACCCACGGCCGAAGGGCGGAGATGAGGCCGATCTCTGCAGGGGTGAGGCCTGGCGGGGCGGCGGGGCAAGGCAGGAGGGGTACAGAGGGTGCTGGAGGACAATGATGTCTGCAAGGGTGGGGGGTATGTCCCTCATTGATGGGGTGTGGGTGGGCTTCGGGCGGTTTATAGGGGTCCACAGGGGTCCAGGCGGGGCCTATAGGGACGGCTGGCAAGCCAGGCAGCTGCTGACCAGGCAGCTGCTTGGCAGGTAGCTGCTCGCCAGGCAGCTGCTCGGTGGCGGTTGCGTGCGAGGGCGCGCGGTGCATTGTGGTCGCCCGCAAGGTGGCAGCCGCGTGGGATACCAGGCGCGCGCGGGAGCGGTGGCGCGCGGGAGCAGGGTTCAGCGTGCCTCTTGCCGCAAGGAAAACGTTTACGTAGGGGAACAGCAAGGCGCCGCTGGCGCCGCCCAGGAGGAACCAAGCCTGGCGGGGGCGGGCGGGGGGCAGCAGGGGTGGCGGCGCATACAGCGGCTGTGTGCACCTCGCTCATGTGATCAGGGCTGTGGGCTCCGGGTGCAGCTGTGGGTGAGGCAGTGTTGGCAACTGGTGTGGAGCCCGACCAGCTGCTTGAGTTTGCAGACCGGCGGCTGCGAGCGGCCTGTTGACCTTGAGCGTCCTTAGCAGTGGAGGGGCCCGAGCCGTGCCCGCCTGGCGCACGACGCGCACCTGCGCACCTTTGCCAAGAGCATCTGTGCGCTGTCAGACGAGTCAGGCTGTTGTTGTTGCAATTTTTCTGCTGGCTGGAGCCCCGCCGCGCGCGCGAGGGGTTGGGCTGCTGCGGCGCCGCTCGCCCGTCCGCTGTTGTTGGGGTCGCTTCGTCGAGCGACGGCCTGCGTCGGCGGGGGTGAGCGTCTGCTGCGGGCGTGGCGCTGACAAAGCCGTATACTCCGGCTCAAATTAGGCCCTAATTTACACGTGGATAGGATTAAGGACTTGGGCGTTAGGCCCGCCGGAGATGCAGCGGGCCTCATGATCCTGATCGGACGCCCGTGTCATTCATCACAAGATGCTGACATACAGCCATGAAGCACAAGTATCTATGTTATTAAGCCCACACAGGGACTGAGTGCCATGTGACGTCACCCGCCAACAGTCACACCAGGCGTTGGCGGCACGCTTTGTTTCACGGGAGCTGCTGCGGTGGCCAGAACATCCGCTGGCAATTTGAAAACACTCACATGTGTCGACAAGGTGTGGCAGTCATAATGGTCTGGTCCAGGTACCAGCGTTCCTTCTGAGCACATGTCAGGTGAACGACCAAGGGTGCAGTCAGGCCAAGACACCCTGTAGCAACCGGTCTTCGGCGATTGTGCAGATGCATGCATCAACGACTCGGTGCCCCGAAAGCTCAGCCCCAGTGACGCACAAAGCGCGGCCCCGCCAACGCCACGCACGGCTGCCACACACGCTGCCACCGCGGCTGCACGCAGCCGCTGATGCTACCCGCGTGTGACATCAACCGTCCTGGGCCGGATGTGCCGGTCGCAGTGTGCGATGCAAGGGCCGTGCATCCCTGCTCCTTGCGCTACTAACGTTGACCATGCCAGGCTGGGCGTGCGCGGCGCAGTACTTGGCGGCGCCATGCCCCGCATGGTTGAAGCTGGGCAGCTTTTCGCAGCCGGGCTCTCGGCAGCGCCAGGTCTGGACGTCCACCATGCCTGGCTCCGAGTGGGCCTTGCAGAAAATGCCCCTGGACTCGCCCTTGAAGTTGAAGACGGGCCGCTTAGTGCAGCCGGGCTCCCGGCAGCGGGGCTTCTTCACATCAACCATGCCGGGCGCCGCATGAGCCTTGCAGAAGATGCCCTTGGACTGGCCCTGGAAGTTGTAGCAGGGGCGCTTGGTGCAGCCAGGCTGCTGGCAGCGCCTCTCTACGACGTCCACCATGCCGGGCGCCGCATGCGTCTTGCAGAAGATGCCCCTGGACTGGCCCTCGAAGTTGAAGTTGGGCCGCGTGGCGCAGTCCGGCTGCCTGCAGCGCGGGCTCGTGACGTCCGCCATGCCGGGTGCCGCATGCGCCTTGCAGAAGAGGCCGCTGGACTCGCCCTCAAAGCTGAAGTGGGGATGTCTCATGCAGCCGGGCTCTCGGCAGCGTCGACTCACAACGTTGACCATGCCGGGCGCCGCATGTGCCTTGCAAAAGATGCCCTTGGACTCCCCCTCAAAGTTGAAGTGGGGCTGCTTCCTGCAGCTGTGCTCTCGGCAGCGCCGACTGCCAACGTTGATCATACCGGGCGCCGCATGAGCCTTGCAGAAGATGCCTGTGGACTCGCCCTCAAAGTTGAAGTGGGGCTGCTTACTGCAGCCGGGCTCTCGGCATCGCCGGCTCACAACGTTGACCATACCGGGCGCCGCATGTGGCTTGCAGAAGAGGCCCTTGGACGCCCCCTCGAAGTTGAATGTGGGCTGCTTACTGCAGCTGTCAACCTGGCACAGGTGTGCCAACCTGGCCGCGCTGGAGCTGAAGCCAGCGACAGCGCGAAGCGCGCCACTGCCTTTGGGCCAGGGGCGGACGCGGTGATTGGCGTATGAGGGCGCTGCGTGGGTGTGGGCCACCGCGTCTTCCGTCAGAGGCGTGGCGGACGCGGGGCCCCATGCGACCCTGGCTTGATGCCAGACCTTGGTGCTTGCCCGGCTGGAGCGGACGGCCAGCGCCTGGCACAGCAGGCGGAGGGTCATGATGGCGGGCACACGACCTGGCTGGGGATGGGGAGAGAAGGGGCAGGCGGCGCTCGTTCGGCCACCAGCGCTGCATGGCATCAGAGCCATAAGCCGATGGACGGCGCAGGCGTGGGCGAGCAGTTCAGAGAGTGCGGACCATCCCCGAACGCAGCTGCTGCCGCAAGCGAGCGCTGCTGCACACGCCCGATGCGGCCTGCGTGCGTCCCCGTGCAGCCAGCTGAGCTCACGTGTGAGCTTCCGGATGTGCTGATGTGATTCCCTGAAAACGCGCAACCTGTACGAGCTGCGTGAAATTCCAAAAAAACTTATTCACGCCGGCTGAAATTGCAATCAACGTGCAGAGGCTTGCACTTCGTGTGACGACGCTTGTTTAAATCGTAAGCAAAAATACAGGTGATCATACCGGCAGTGACGCATACTCGTCTGCCTCGTGCCTCGTGGACGGGCTGGCCGACATGGCAAGCGGCAGTCTGCAAAAACCGTGTGCGGTAGCCCTGGTTGCATTTGATCAACTGGAACCCCTTTGATATATGCATGCAATGATACCCGGTTCGCCGCATGTCTGTCTCTTAGAGCCGGTCACCCACCTGATGCCCCTGCTGGGCTGTCAGGACAACACAGAGTGCAAAGCGCGACACAGCACGAGCAGGCGTTGTCCGTGGCAAGATCAGCGGCGGCAACATGATACAATTGCTTGCTCATACCTGGTGCAGCATGCATATGTTCGTATAGGCCTCCCAAACACCGATTAGTCAATGGCACCATTGGTATGCTTGGGACTTGCGTGGTCGGCGTTGGCGGTGCTGCTCATGCAAGTTGGCCCCCTACAAGAAGCTGTTGAGCTGCGGATTTACACACGATAAACTGCAACGATCTCTCACAGACAACATATACTGCACATGCTGGGCCAGCTTTGCCAAGAAACAAGCCAACAAAGCACGCATGCACTGGCGCGCGCGCGTCCGCCCGCCCCACAACAATCAAATGCGATCTCGCCGTCAGCGGGCCGTCCTTCACTTGCTGAAGTAGTGAGCGCGCCCCCAACTGTGACGGGTGAGCAGCAAGGTGGCCAGTGATGAGCCGGGCGGCGCATGGGTGAATTATCGTGCGCGTGAGCATGCGTCAGGATTGATGCAGGCGCCATGCAAAAGGCACCTTAAGCTGCTGCGGCTGATGCCATGCAGCACGGCGCAGCACATGTGTCCTGGGCTGGGACCGGTCAGCTGCGGGCTCAGACTCGCCTCGTCAACTTGGCGCACGCGCCCCCAAAGCCCGCATCTGTGCGGCTGTCAGCGATGACCTCATCCCCATGCACCAGCCGGACCTAGGGGTTTTGATTTAATTCGAGTGGGGAGCGGGTTTCGACAATTTGAGGTTGATGGAGTGAATGACAAGTCATGTTATCACTTGGGCAAGGCCGATCTAAATATCGGACGTGATGTGAAATTCAGCCGCCTAAAAACTCAACAATTGCAGGCGCAGGGCCGCTCAGGCAGGGGACCGCCCCGTAACGCTTGCATGCGGCTGCCGTCGTACGATTGACGGGAAAGCAAGGCTGGAAAGCAGATGCGAGAGCGCGCGGCGCCGTTGTTGCCAGGGCAGCGGCTGAAAAAAAGATCTTCTGGACCACGGCCCGGCTGACTCACCACCATGCCAATGTCAAAGTCGCCACCAGGGGGATCCTGTGACAGCATGAGTGCAACAAGCAGCGCAAACTGCGTCCGCAAATTTGCGTGTGCTGCAACCACAATCGCCCCTGCGAGGCCCAAGCCACGTTGGGCGCGACTGTGACCCAACCACCCCCCGCCGCCTGCGGCGCTACGAGGATTCGCTAGCTGAAACGCTGCGCTGGCAGCCAGACACAGTGGCGCTAGCTGGTTGGCGGGGCGGGGTCCTGCTGCCTGCAGGCACCCCAGGGTCAGCGGCTTGTCGCTTCTACCAACAAACTGCTTTCGGGTGCAAAACAAGGGCGCACACCCCAAATCCGCAAGCTGATGTCGGCAAACGCGAACCAGGCCTTCCTTTCCCTCCCACGTCGAGCCCCGCACCCACTTTGGACCCTCCTTGACTGCCGCGTCGTACTCCCGCCTCTCCGCAGCCAGCAGCTCGTCCAGCGGCGCCCTCAGCCGCCCCACCCACGCGTCTGCGGCCAGGGGGCCGCCCGTGAGGCCCTCCACCAGGTCTAGGAACATGGCGCTGTTGCCGGGGCGCCAGTACGATGACGTCAGCGCGGAGCCGACGTTTCTTTTGGGGGTGGGGTTGGGGGTTGGGGAAGGGTGTGTTAAGGGGCGATGCCGGTTCGGAGAACTGCCAGCTGTGTGCGTGGGACACTCGAGCGGATCCTGTCAGACCACACCAAAGGAGCATTCAGTGGTGCAGGCAGGGGGGACAAGCACCACGTAGGAGCAACGTGCATGAGGGCCGAAAGCTGCTGCCATCAAACACATCTGACAGCACCCCCTTCTCCCTCCCACGCCACGTCCGAGGCGGCTCACGTTGAGGTTGTCCACGACGCGGCCCTCTTTTGACAAGAAGTGCGCCCTGGTCTGGTGCACGCTCATCTCCGCCAGGACGTAGCTGCGTGCGGTGGGAGGGGGGTGGGGAGAGGAGGGGGCGGGGTGCATTGCACGTCATGCTTCGAAGGGGACCGCAAAATGGAGCGTCAAACAAGCGGCATCTCGCACGAGGGGCAGCCAGAACGACGTCACATGGGGGGCAGCCAGCATGATGTCACAAGATAATTTGAGGGCAAGCTAGCGAAGGGGAGGGGTCCAAGGCGTTGAGGGGGGCTCGCTCTCTGCAATACAGGCATGTATGCCAGCACCAGCCATCATGATCAGCTGTGTCGCCATCAAAACCTCAGCCCCAGCGACGCACAAAGCACGCCGCCGCCACCGACACGCACGGCTGATGTACCCGCGTGTGACATCGACCATCCCGGGCCGGGTGTGCAGACCGCAGTACAGCCGCCGGGTCCTGCCCTGGAAGTTGTGCGATGCAAGGGCCGTGCATCCCGGCTCCTTGCAGTGTGCGCTCGACATGTTGACCATGCCAGCCTGGGCGTGCGCGGCGCAGTACTTGGCGGCACCGTGCCCCGCATGGTTGAAGCTGGGGACCTTGTCGCAGCCGGGCTGTCGGCATCGCCGGGTCTGGACATCCACCATGCCTGGCTCCGAGTGGGCCTTGCAGAGGATGCCCCTGGACTCGCCCTTGAAGTTGAAGACGGGCCGCTTAGTGCAGCCGGGCTCCCGGCAGCGGGGCTTCTTCAGATCGACCATGCCAGGCGCCGCATGCGCCTTGCAGCACACGCCCTTGGACTCGCCCTTGAAGTTGAAGTTGGCCCGCGTGGCGCAGTCCGGATGGCTGCAGCGCGGGCTCGTGACGTCCACCATGCCGGGCGCTGCGTGCGCCTTGCAGAAGAGGCCGCTGGACTCGCCCTCGAAGCTGAAACAAGGATGCTTACTGCAGCCGGGCTCTCGGCATCGCCGGCTCACAACGTTGATCATACCGGGCGCCGCATGTGCCTTGCAGAAGATTCCCTTGGACTCACCCTCAAAGTTGAAAAAGGGATGCTTACTGCAGCTGTGCTCTCGGCAGTAGCGCCTGCCAACGTTGATCATGCCGGGTGCCGCATGTGCCTGGCAGAACAGGCCCTTGGACTGGCCCTCAAAGCTGAATTTGGGCCTCGTGGCGCAATTCGGATGGCTGCAGCGCCGGTTCGTGACGTCCACCATGCCGGGTGCCGCATGCGCCTTGCAGAAGAGGCCCCTGGACTCGCCCTCAATATTGAAGTGCGGCTGCTTACTGCAGCCGGGCTCTCGGCATCGCCGGCTTACAACGTTGATCATGCCGGGTGCCGCATGTGCTTTGCAGACGAGGCGCTTGGACGCCCCCTCAAAGTTGAATGCGGGATGCTTACTGCAGCTGGCGTCCTGGCACAGACGTGCCAACCCGGCAACGCTCGAGCTGAAGCCAGCGACAGCGCGCAGCGTGCCACTGCCTTTGTGCCAGGGACGGATGGGCTGGTCGGCGTACGAGGGTGCTGCGTTGGGGTGGGCCACTGCGTCTTCCGTCAGAGGTGTGGCGGACGCGGGGCCCCATGCGACCCTGGCTTGAGGCCAGATCCTGGTGCTCGCCCGGCTGGAGCGTGCGGCCAGCGCCTGCCACAGCAGCCAGAGGGTCATGATGGCGGGCACACAACCTGGCTGGGGGTGGGGGAGAGATGTGGCAGGCGGCGCTCGTTCGGTCACCAGCTCTGAATGGCATCACAGTCATACGCCAGTTGACGACGCAGGCGTGGGCGGGCAGGCTGGTGAGTGCAGAACATTCCCGAATGCAGCTGCTGCGGCGCCGAGCGAGTGCTGCTGCAAACGCCCGACGCCGCTTGTGCTCACCGTGCAGCCAGCTCACGAGTGAGCTTCTGAATGCGCCTCGTTTCCCTACTGAAGCGCGAACTGTACAAGCTGCGTGAAATACTCGACAAACTTTACATGTCAGATTGCAATAAACGTGGCCGGGTGTAGCTCTGCACTAGGCTTGTACTTCGTGTAATGACGGTGGTTAGAATTATCTGCAGATCAGATCAGATCATACTGGTGGTGAACCATACTTGTTTGCGTCATGGCTCGTGGACGGGCTGGCCGTCACAGGAGTCACCGCAGACGGCCGACGTGGCAAGCAGCAGTCTGCACAAACCATGTGGGGTACCGTATCTCTACCTGCATTCAGTCAGCTGGGACGCCTCTGATATCATACAATGACACTTGGTTCGCCGTATGCCTGTCTCTTAGAGCCGGTCACCCATCTGATGCCCCCTCTGGTTCAAGGCACCATGACCGCAACGCGCGACACAGCACGAGCAGGCGTCGTCGGTGGCACCCATAGCGGCGGCGAATTGATACAGTTTTGAATGAATTCACCTCTTGCAGCATGCGCATGTTCGTATGGGTCCCACTCACCAGAAAGTCGGCGTCATTGATCTGCTCGCTAGCGGCTTGCACTGTCGTCAATGGCGGTCATGCTCATGCGCCACCTTTGCCCTGCCCTCCAAATGCTGTCAAACTGAAATGTTACACACAGTAACCTGCATCAATACCTCACAAGAAACATACTGTAACCCAAACATGCTGGACCAACTTTGCTGTGCTGCCAAGAAACAAGCCACCAAAGCATGCAACGGCGCGTGCGCAAGCGCCTGCACCCCAACGATCTACTGCTCGCCGTCGTCGGGCCATCCTTCACTTGCTGAAGTAGTGAGCGCGCACCCACCTGTAAGGGCCGGGCAGCAAGGTGGATGGTGATGATCCGGGGAGCGCATGGGTGTAAACGCAGTGCGTGTGAGCGTGCGCCTGGATAGATGCAGAAAAAGTGCAACAGACGCATCGGGCTGCTGCCGCTGATGCCACGCGGAGCAGCGCAGCGCACGTGTTTCCTGGGCTGGGACCCGTCAGCTGCCGGCGGTGGCTCACCCCTTGAACTTGGCGCACGCGCCCCCAAAGCCCCCATCTGTGCGGCTGTCAGCGATGACCTCATCCCCATGCACCAGCCGGACCTGGGGGTTGGATCCAACAAGGGTGGGAGCGGTTTTCGATGATTGAGGTTTGATGGCGTAATGCTATCACTTGGGCAAGGACACTCGAGATGTTGGATGCAACCTGGAAGACAGCCACCCAAAAACTCAACAACTGCAAGCGCACGGGGCTGCTCAGGCAGGGGACCGCCCCCCAATGCTTGCATGCGGCTGCCGCCACACAACTCCAGGAAAGGCAAGGCTGGGCAGCATTTGCGAGAGCGCGCGGCGCCGTTGTTGCCCGGGCAGCGACTGGAAGTCATCTTCTGGACCACTGCGAGGCTGACTCACCACCATGCCAATGTCGAAGTCGCCACCAGGGGGGATCCTGCGGGATTGTCAGTGCAGCAATCAGCGGGAATTGCCTAATCGAACCTGGGCATGCTGCGCGTACAAACGCCCCTGCGCCGCCCAAGCCGCGATGGGCGTGATCGTTGACGCAGCGCCCCCAGCTGCGCTGGGGCAGTGGCAGCCGGGCGCAGTGGCGGCGGCCTGGTTGGCGGGGCGGGGGTCTGATGCCCGCAGCCACCCCAGGGCCCGCCCCTTGTCGCTCAAGTTCTTTTGGGTGCATGCAACGTGAACGTCCACTCCAGATCCGCAAGCTGGCAGTCGCATACGCTAATAAGGCCGTGGCGCTCCCACGTCGAGCCCCGCACCCACTTTGGCCCCTCCTTGACAGCCGCGTCGTACTCCCGCCTCTCCGCAGCCAGCAGCTCGTCCAGCGGCGCCCTCAGCCGCCCCACCCACGCGTCTGCGGCCAGGGGGCCGCCCGTGAGGCCCTCCACCAGGTCTAGGAACATGGCGCTGTTGCCGGGGCGCCAGTACGATGACGTCAGCGCGGAGCCCACCTGTTTTTGTGAGGGGCAGGGCGCGTTGCGAGGAGGGGGGGGGGACGTTGTGAGGTTCTGCCAGCTGTGTGCATGGAGCATTCAAGCAGGTGGTGTCAGAACACGACACGGTGCAACCCGTGGTGCCGGCAGGCGGAGGACCACCACTCAGAGCAACGTGCATGAGGGCCGAAAGCTGCTGCCATCAAACACATCTGACAGCACCCCCTTCTCCCTCCCACGCCACGTCCGAGGCGGCTCACGTTGGGGTTGTCCACGATGCGGCCCTCCTTTGATAAGAAGTGCGCCCTGGTCTGGTGCACGCTCATCTCAGCCAGGACGTAGCTGTGTGCAGGGGGGAGGGGTGGTGAGTTGAGTCGAAAAAGAGGCCGGGGTGCGTCCACCGGGAGGTCTTGCAGGGGGCCGCAAATTGGCAGCCATTTGCATAAAGCAGCAAGTCTGACATCACGAGATTAAGCGAAGGGCGGGCCAGCAGAGGGGGAGGGTCGAAGGCGTTGAGGGGGGCTCGTTCCCTGAATATGCCAGCACCAGCCATCGGTGTGTCGCCATCACCCGGCAATACCG